TGGCTGCAGGTTCTGCACTGCACTGCCCCCTGGTGGTCAGCGCATGTCATAGCGAGCGATCGAACTCCTGGTCTCCCAGTTAAACTCCCGAGGGGACACTTTGCATATTAGCCTTTTACATATATAGATTATCTAACTCCGAAAACTGGCCTAAATTGCTGGAGCCTAAATTCAATATCGTGGAAGAAAGGAATGCCATTCACGTCAGTAAGACAGAATTTGCTTGATTTTTGAGTGTTACATACGGCTATCCTGATAGCTGTGTTCCAAAGCTTCTAAGCTCACAGCTGAATTCTGTGTAAGCCAGTAGCACTCTGTTTCCACAATAGATTCCACATTTTAGTGCAGAACATTAATATCGTAGAAGGGAGGGCAGTCACTGTGCCCAGTGATGTCCACAGTTAATAAGAAGTGGCACATATCGCCAAATTTTCAAATTTTTTAGTTTTAGTTCTTCATAAGCTCTCATTCATTCAATGAACAATTAAGGGTTCACAGGCCTATTGATAAGTATCGGGAACAGTAAGACACAATCCTCCATCTTAAGCGTGTGATCAAACTTACCATTATCAATGTGTATTGATAATCAAATCAAATGTTATAATGTGCCTCCTGATATGATGCACTAAGGAGCACATAATGTCACCCTTGTAGTTCCGTGCCAAACTAGTTTAACATGAATCTAATCACGAGGAATCAGTTAGACAAATCCAAATTTAGCGGCAATATACAAAACTGGCCTGGACGCTAAAAATTTCAAGGTTAATAAAAGAATGGATAAGAAGATTAGAAAAACATGATAATTAAATACAATGAATGAACCTTGATTGGATCCTGGATTTTTTTTTTTAAGCTATAAATGTCATTGTTAGGACCAGTGGGAAGTTTGACTATCTACTCTATATTATATTGTCATATATTATATCACATGTCATATCATATAGACTTTAAATTATATTAAATGTTACATTTTTGGAGTATGATCATGATATTATAATTATATAAGAAAATATCTTTATTTATGGGAGATACATACTAAAAAATTAAGAAATAAATGTCATGATGCCTAAGATTTACTTTCAAATGGTTCAGTAAAAAAATTTTATACCTATACGGTATCCCCCAAAAATGTATACACACACTTTGAATAATTATAAAGGCAGTGTTTATTAAAATACATTTTATTTTCAAAATTGAGCTACCAGCTGTTAAAGTGTGCATACATTTTTTGGGTTACGCTGTATATTGATATGTTAATATCTATTCTGTATGTGTGTGTGTGTATGATTATTTTATTAGTTTCCTAGAGTACTGTAGCAAACTACCACAAACTGGGTGGCTTAAAACAATAAAAATGTATTTTCTAACCATTTTGGATGCAAGAAGTGTGAGAGCAGGGTGGTGGCGGGGAAGCCTCAGGGAAGGATACTTCCTGCCTCTTCCAGCTTCTGGTGGTGGCCAGCAAGCCTCCGCATTCCTTAATTTGCAGCTACGCTGCTCCAATCTTTTCCTCTGTCTTCACACGATGGTCTTCCCTCTGTGTTTCTTTATCCCTCTTCCTATCAGGATGCCAGTTATTGGATTAGGGCCCATCCGAATCCAGCCCGGCCTCATCTTATCTTGATTATATCTGCAAAGACCCTATTTCCAATAAGTTCATATTCACAGGTACTGGGTAGACGTCAATTCCCGGGGACACTATTCAGCTGGTGCAGTATCTAAGGCTTTTACAGAGGGACGGAGGGAAGGGGAGGGGAGAGAAGAGTGCATAATGTGGCAAAATCTTAACAAAGGGTGAATTTTGGTGGAAAGTGTGTGTGTATTTTACCATGCTTTCAAGTTTTCTAAAGGTTTGAAATATTTCCAAGTAAAATAAAATTTGGGGAAAAATGCTCTGTAAAAAAGGGGGTGCGGGCCATTGTCCTTGCCCAGAAGGCTGTCTCCATGTCATGAAGGACACAGTGGAGGGACATGCATCATGCAGGTCTCAGAGCACAGGGGCCAGGAACAGAGACCACAGTGCTGACTCCGGGGGGCAGGTTAGGGAGGGTTTGGAGAAGGGACGTGCAGCTGAACAGAGGTTTGAAGGACAGTGTAGGAACCAGCTGCGGGTCTGAGAGTGCACCCGGGGAGCTGCCAGCTGGCCAGAATGGTTGGGGCAAAGGGCATGTGTGTCAAAATGGTGGGAGTGGAACCTGGAGAGAGGCAGGAACCATGTCATCGAGATGGCTTTGGCCATGAAGGCCAGGACAGGAGCCGAGGTTCAGCCTGAGCAAATTTTGCTTTGGGGACTAGAGATATGGAGAAGCTTGGGGTCGGTCAGTTGGGAGACTGGCGGGACGAGCCGGATAAGAAAGTAGGGGCATCAGAGGAGGGCAGGGTGTGTGAGAGCTGCGGAGGAGCCCAAACGGGAAGGGCTTGGATGGGCAGGTGTGGAAGAGGGAAGAACAGGGTGGGGTGGGTGCCTGGGGGGTTGGTGCAGCCTGCCCTGCAGGAATACAGGAGGAAGAACAGAGAGCCGACAAAGGCTGCTGGAGGGGGATAGAGGCTGTGCTCAGCTTGGAAGTGCCGAACCTGAAGGGCCAGGTGAGGGCCTCAGTGAGATGGCTGGGGCCCAGGAAGTAGACCTGGCCTGGTGACTCTTACATATGTTGGTATTGAGTGAAATCATGGAATTTCAGATTTCCCAGTTAGAGTGTAGCGAGAAGAATGTAGTTACAAGTAAAAGGCTGGGTATAAAATCCTGAAAAGCAGAGCAAAGGAGAAGGCCCAGCAAAGGAGGCCAGGGAGACTTGGACAAACAGGGCAGGAGCCTGAAAATCCGACATCTTAAAGGCAGGGTGCGCAGGCCTCCAGGAGGAAGTCTCGGTTATACTTTACATCAGGGGTGGGGAACCATTTTTCTGCCAAGGGCTGTTTGGATATTTATAACATCATTTGCAGGCCATAAAACATTATCAACTTAAAATTAGCCTGCTATATTTGGTCCAGTGTTTAATTAACTCACCCCTAATGCCTTGGCAGGGCCAGACCAAATGATTTCGAGGGCCTCATATGGCCCGCAGGCCGGACGTTCCCCACCCCTGCACCAGGCAGCACAATCCCTTCCCTGGCACACTCGGAGTCTCTGGCAGGTTATTTTTAACTGGAACCTTGTAAAGTCAATGTTTGTGCTTTTTACAATTGTCCTGTCCGATGGCTTGTTCTACATTCTGACCTGGAGTTACTGTACGAGCCGGGGAGTGGTATGTGAGAGAAACCGGGTGAGTGACAGATAATAATCCTACAGCCTTCCAGCCTTGCTCTCTGACAGATAAAACAATCCATGTGCATTGTGTTCCACCGCTTGCATCACCTGAGCTGTCAGTGGAATTTATGGAATGGATTGTTCTCTTGGAGTCACCCAATAGCCCTGAACAATGGGACCACACATTCTTAGTTTTATATAAGAGCTGGTAAGGAATGTTTCATCCACCTGATCGGAAGCAGGGAGCCATTGCGGACGCCTGCCTGCCTGCCTGCCTGCATTCTCTCTCTTTCTCCTTCTCCTCCTTGTCCTCTTCTTCTCTCTTTAAGGAAGAAAAAACAGGGAGGGAGGGAGGGAGGGAGGGAGGGGAGGAGGAAAAGAAAAGTAATGTAGATCCTTTGTGCAGCAGTCTCCAGATTCACAGTGGTTCTCAACCTTCTGGCCCTTTAAATACAGTTCCTCATGTTGTGACCCAACCATAAAATTATTTTCGTTGCTACTTCATAACTGTAATGTTGCTACTGTTATGAATCGTCATGTAAATATCTGATATGCAGGATGGTCTTAGGCGACCCCTGTGAAAGGGTCGTTCGACCGCCAAAGGGGTCTCGACCCACAGGTTGAGAACCGCTGCTCCAGAAGATGGCCTCACAGGCTGGGGGGAAGATAAGTATGAACTGTGGGACATAAGGATACTCTGGGTTTTCACTTCACAGAATACATTTTTATTTCTTTGAGTAATCTTCTAGGAAAAAGGTACTAAAGTACGAGGTAACTACTGGGGGGCCCTACCTTGCTCGTACAGTGAGCTTTAGGGCTGAGAAAGTCCCCTTCTTCAACCGAAACATTTCAGGGTGGTTTGGTTGCATGTGACACAGTGAAAGAGGCCGATGAACTCAGCACTGGGACGTTCCGAGGCAGTGGTCTCAGAGTCCATTTGGTTTGGTAACTTGAAAGATGTCTCTACTCTACCGTGTCAGCTTCAAGCGAAGGCCAGCTCCAGGGTTCAGCGTTCATCTCCAGAGCGAGGCCCGTCCTCAGTGCTGGCTGGCCGGCCCATGACCCGCCCCTCTGGTCCGGGAAAGGTCGCGTGCCAGATTGGCCGGGGCTTGATTTTCCTGAGCCATCCCTGCGGCAGCAGAGGTGGGCTCACCTGGAGATGCAGGCACATGTGCACCACGAGGGAAGGGTGGAGTAGATACTGGGGCGCCGACCACAGTGCCCACGGCTAAGTGACTTCAAATTCCTGCACTGAGGGTGAAAACTCCTTTAAGAGGGCGTCAAGCCTCTCATCTGAAATTTGAGATAAGATTGAAATAGTAACAGTGAATTTACACTAAAATGTGTTGAAGGGTTTGGCCTTCACCGTGACAATCTGCTCGGGGAGCTTTTCCTTCCCCAGAGCTGTGCTGTGGCCCCTAGAACGCAGTTCTCAACCTGTGGGTCCCAACCCCTTTGGGGGTCGAACGACCCTTTCACAGGGGTCGCCTAAGACCATCGGAAAACACATATAGAATTACATATTGTTTTTGTGATTAATCACTATGCTTTAATTATGTTCAATTTGTAATAATGAAATTGGGGGTCACCACAACATGAGGAACTGTATTAAAGGAAGGCATTAGGAAGGTTGAGAACCACTGCCCTAGAGGAACAGAGAAAAGGGCTTATGCTATACCACAGCACGTCCCAACTCCCCGGTGGGAATGAGGGAAGATGCCTGCCAACCCTCTCCATCTAGGAGCCAGCTAGGACATGTTCCTGATCTGGGCACTCCTGGGGCACTGATCACCCTCGCTGGTGAATCAAGACCAGCAGGTTCTCTCTGAAGACTCCAGCGCACAGGACAAGAGCTGTGTCAGGATGTCTCGGGAGCCCAGTCCCTCTTGAGTAAGTTCTTAGCCAGTTTAAGATTCTTCTCCTCCTCCCACTCTTTTTTTTTTTTTTTTTTAATAACCAGAGGAAGATTTTGTTTTCAGGTATGGTGACATAGAACATGAGATCTTTAACCCTCACACCCATACAAGCTTCAGATAAGCAGAACATGGAGCAGAGAGGACCAGATTAACGAATGACACTCATATGGAAAGCCCTTCTCACCTTCTGCATCTGCATCCTGCAGTCAGGGACGGTCACATGGGAGGCTGGGCACTGGCTCGCTGGTCTTTGGAGGAATAGCCTCCTAACCAACCTCTCAGTGGACTCGGGTGTATAGAAAGGAGAAACTGCCAAGGAATATACTTGCTTTCCCAAATTGCCCTGGGATACCCTGAGTTACCCTGAGTGGCTTCCAGTTTTCTAGTACCATTTTCAATTCGTGGTTGGAAGACCGAGGGTGCCTTTTTCTTTGCCATTTTATGTTAGGGACTTGAGCATCTGTGGATTTGGGTATCCCCGGGGGGTCCTGGATCCAATCTCCTGTGGATACTGAGAGAAGACTGTAGTTACGTTTTGGAGGAGTCGTAAGTTGTACTGTGTGGAAGTTGGTGACCCTAATCCCCATGTTGTTCAAAGGTCAACTGTATAAGAATAGTTGTGCTGTTTGCTTGATTTTGCCATGACTCCAACACCCTCCTACTCCGAAAATGCATAGAGTAGAATCTTTTTACAGTGTAGCCAATGAGATGGCAGGATTTCCATTAAAACGTTAGTCAAAAGGTGGCCTTAAGCTCTGAACACCCAGTGAAGTGTGGGTTTGGCCTCTGTCCCAACACCAGCCTCATGGAGAGACTCAGTTGTATTCACTCTTCAAATAAAGACAGATATAATTCATCCCGTGGGGAAGTTTGTGAGAATTCCACACCATGCAAATAATTTGCACACTACAGTAAAAAGTAGTGGTTAAGGACACAGTTTTTGTAAATCACAGTTTGGGGTTAGAATCTCAGCTCAGTCACTCTCTTAACCCCAGCAAGATACTTAACCCTGCCCATACTCGAGCTTTCCCTCCAGTGCTGTGAATGGTGTACACACACGTGTGCCGAGAGATTGGTCCTCTCGGTCCTCAAGGAGGTGCTATGACGGGAAAAAGATTTGAAAGATCATCATAATCTGAGCTTCTGCATCTCTCAGCTATAACTGTGTTTTCCTCGTGGGGCTGGTTTAGGAATTAAACGCAGATCTCTCCGTACAGCACTTAGTAAGCAATAACCCAGTGGCAGTGTGCTCTGTCCGTACAGCCCTTGGGCAGCCATCCAATTTCACCAGCACTTGGAAAATGTCTAGAAGATAATTACCTCCCACTCCTTTGCAAAGAAAATCCTGAAAGCCCTGAGCAAGGCCAACAAACAAACAGTGCCTTTCCAGGGAGGCCAGTGATGCTGGCCATTGGAACCAGCCCCGGGTCTCTCTGCCAGCTTGTTCTGTGGGGGCTGCCTTCTCTTACAGTAAGTAGCTGAAAAGTGTGAACACTTCCATCTCCTGTCCCACGGGGAAAAAATAAGGTCCTCCAACTCAAGAGCTGCTGCAGGCCATTTCCAATGCACAGGAAGAGTCAGGGCCAAGATGTATTTTTCCTCAGAAAGCAGGTCTTGATGAGCTATCTATTTGTTTCATTTTACTTATGGACACCTTGTAATCATTTACTTCACTCTAAGCCTCTCATTCTGAAATCTGAGATAAAATTGAAATAGTAACAGTGAATTTACACTAAAATGTGTTGAGGGAGTGAATTTTTTCTATGGCATAAATGTCAAGTGAGCTAAAAAATAATTTTATTTCCCTATAATTGAATTATATTAATTCATGACCCCCAATTTCTAGTTGGTAATAGAAAACTCAATCTTTCAAATTCAAGATAAATTCAATTACTTCTGGTTTCAAACCCAGCCTTTCCTCCATGTAACTTCACATTACTGTAGGGACATATATATTAGGGTCAGAGAGGTGGCAATAGTGTCTATAAAAAGCAGAATCATAGTTAAATCATAAATTGAAATGGACACTTACAATACCTACGGGAGGCTTAGTGATTTCCCAGAGAAACCCAAAGGCAGGTGTCACTGGAGTCGGAAGCCACTGTTCTCATCACTCTAAAGCCTGTTTCCAGGTTGTTCCCATTAGTCTCTCAGCGGGTAGATGAGTGTGGGCAGAAGACAGAGGTGAAGAGTCTCTGGGCATCATCTTCGAGAACACTATTGTGGAAAAGCCAAGAATGAGCTCACAACTGGTGCAGAATGTTTTCAAGCAATGCACCCTGCAAAGGTTTTGTATTTAAAAAACAGTGATAAACATAAAACCACCACCCTCTCTTCTTGACCCCATCAGTTGATTGAGTGTGAAAAATAACCACATATTACATTCACTTAATTTTTAAAGAATCTTTATTGTTGAAAGTATTACAGATGTCCCCTAGTCACTTAATATTTTTTAAGAGGAGTTCACACACAATCTGGGAGGCTGTCAACTAAGTGGAAATTAAGGGAGTCTTGCTTCAGCCAAGTTTTATTTTTGTAACTGCAGAACGAAGTCCTGTGTCTGGGGTAGTGTCTTAGAGCACAGATGGGAATCTGGAGACTGGGTTTACATGCCTGCTTTGCAGCTATTTAGCTCTATGACCCTAGGTAGAACAAATAACTTCTTGCATAATTTTCCACCTGCAAAATTATCTATATACTAGAGGCCCGGTGCACGGATTTGTGTACTGGTGGGGTCCCTCAGCCTGGCCTGCACCCTCTTGCAATCTGGGACCTTCGGGGGATGTCAGACTGCCGATTTCGGCCCAATCCCCGCAGGCCAGGCCAAGGGACCCCACCAGTGCATGAATGCGTGCACCGGGCCTCTAGTTACTTATAAAGTATCCATGAGTGAAATTCAGAGACCCAGAGGTCCAATCAATGAGATTATGCATAGAAAGACATGCCCCAATGTGTGGTTGCAACAGGTGCACTGGAAGGTAGCCTCTGGTGTGTGTGTGTGTAGAGCACAGAGTCCCAGGACTTCAGAGCTAGGTGGAGCCTCAGAGGTTATTCTATCTCCTTTATTTGTCTTTGCTTGTCTCCACTGTGATCCATTGTGATTGATTTTACAGATTAAACTCTCATAAAACAATCTATTTCCTGCATTTCCAGGCTATTGGGGTGGGTGTTACCCGCATTGGAGCTCCCAAGTTCAAACATATGTGATTACTGTGGTCACATACAATAAGGCAGAGAAATTGTTTGTTTAGTTTGTTTAGTTTCCTGTTGATGGAGAATTCCTTGACATCCAGGGCCTCTTCCTTTTTGAGCTCTGTATCCCCAGGACCTAGCACAATGTCTGATGCAAAGCAGAGGCTCAAAAAGTGTTTATTGTTGTCATTGTCAATGGAAACGTAAAAAATGTTGTGACCCAATCCGATTAACTTAGACTTATTTGGAGAATAGAAAGTTAGCAGGAGAGTGGTATCCTCATGGAGCCTAGACCTTGATGGGACACCAAAGGGCAGCACTTGTCACTGTTGTCTGGTACTGCAGGGGTGGGTCAGCATCGTTAGACTGCAGTTTCTCATAGTGGTCACAAGAGGAGCTCAACCTCTGATGGGTGCTGCCTGTTGTCCTGGGTCTTCATGGCCTCGAGGCCAGTTCTGGCTTCTCAGGGAGGCTACCCCTGCAGGCTACCCTTCTCAGTCTCCCTAGTCAACTGGCTTCTGGTGGGGTTGGCCAATGTGAGATGGATGGAGGGTGGGAGGAAGACAAAGCCAAGGTATTTCTCTTACCTATTCATCTCAGAGACTGTCTCTGACAGTGGTTGTGTCTTCCCCACAACACCAGATCCTGCCTGCCATGGCCACACCAGACAGACCCCTGGGTGTGGGAGTGTCAGTGGCTTTTTGCCGTGGCTTGGGAGTTCGTCCACTACCTACATGACTAATTCCCTGTGTTACATTTCCTCTGTTTTCAATACTTAGAGCAATTTCTGTCTAATATAATGTTAAGACACTGTTCATGCTCTGGAAACTGTGTGATTCAGATCCTGCCTCTAATATTTATTAGCTGTATGACTGGAAACAAGTGGGGTTTTATTTGTTTGTGAGTTTGTTCTTGTAACCTCATTCTGTCTCAATGTCCTTATTGGTCAGATGCGAATAATAACAGTAGCTACATCATAGTGTTATGTGAAGATTAAATGATTTAATAGATATAAAGCATTTAATAGTGCCTAGCTCATGACAAGCCCTAAAACTATTAGCTATTATCATGATAATTGTTGCTTGAACAGTGAGGGAGGTATAGGTTATACTTTACACCAGGGGTGGGGAACCAGTGCTTACTCGGGTCTGAACACAACGGCATTTCCTGTTTCTAATTCATGTTCAACACTTAAATATGTTACCTTGCATTGCTAGTTATCTTACTTCGTTATAGGCCTTGCAATTCCAACTAGATGACAAAGGGGTAAAAAATAAATGTTCTTGTATCTTCTGAGCCCAGCACAGAGCAGGTGCTCAGTACATTGGTTTATTTATAAACCAGTGAAATGAACATTTCCATTGGATGTTGCTAGCCACCGGTAAATGTGTTGCCTATGGACTTTGTGCTTAAACTGAGCCTCAATTCCAATTCCTCCCCATCTATACTAATAAAAGGGTAATATGCTAATTAGACTGGGAGACCTTCCAGAAGACCTTCCAGATGTTCTTCTGGACAAAGCCATGGTGCCGGGGCTGAGGTAGAGCTGGTTAGAGGCCAAGAGGGCAGGGCAGTTGTGGGTGATCAGGCCAGGATGGGACAGCAGTTGTGGGTGATCAGTCTGATGGGGGGCGGGACCGTTGGGTGTAAGCAAACCAGCAGGGGGGCCAGTTGGGGGTGAGCAGGCCATCAGTGGGGGTCAGTTGGAAGTGATCAGGACAGAGGGGGGGGCAATTTGGAGTGAGCTGGCCAGTGGGGAGGGAAGGTGGGGGA